TTGATGAAAAATTAGGTGTCTATTTACTTGTGACCACTCAGTGTATACATACAATTCCATACGTACATATTATTATATTCCTGCAATAAAAACCATGGAACAAAATTTGTGACTCAAAAAACAGTGAAACAACGAGTGGTATGAAAGTTTGTAGATTATAGTAATTCATCTTTCCTATTGTAGTTAATCATCTTTCCAAACATTCAGAGATAGAAGACAGATAAATTGTGTCATTAGTTGGAATTGTATACCAAATAATTTGGAGCTTTAATTTGTTTTCAACAGACATGAATGAAGACAAAATCATATTTTGTTCAAATACCACCCTCAGTGGATCAGCGCTAAGCCTGTGCACTTACAATACTAAAAATCAGATCTCGATACTTTTGGTGGGCAGAAGTCAGATAGTCCATTATACAGCTTTGTGCTCAAAATAAATACTCGTATACCTTTTCTTCATTAAACTGTTGTGGGTTGGTAAACGTCCATGGTAACTAGAACAAATCATCCTCTTTTTTTTTTTATACATTTTTATATTATGGACCAAGTTCAAAATAAAACTAGTATAAATGTTGGTTTGTAATGACCCATCTTTAATAATGTGATTGCATATTTATTTTTCATTTGAAATGTTCCTACATTATGATAATAAAACTGACTTTACCGGAATATTCTTCAATTGTGATTCCCATTTTACTATGCGTACATAATAAACTGACATCCAACTACCACTCCACTTCGTGAAAACTGTTATGAAACCTACATCAGCAGCAGATCACAGAATATACTTGCTGTTGCAAAATAAATTATTGGGGGTTATATATATGTCTCACTTGCACTGTATTTATTAATGAAGCCATTCATTGTCACTAGTTTTATGGGACTTTCTGAAGGAATTTACAAATTTTCATAGTTATTAAAATTATAAACATGAAAATAATAACCTTTTTTTTGCATCTGAGGGATTCAAGTATGATGGCAGCCACCGCAGGCATGTGCATCTATGGGCTGGCTATACTAGTTTTTACCACCCACCACTGAAATCATCCTAGCTACAACCCTGATTTGAAGTCATTCTAGAAAGATAAAAAAAAAGGGTAACTTAGATTTATTTCAAGTTTTTTTCCAGTGGATATGAAGTCTGTCAAATTGACCAACCTTGTATAGAGCAAATGGTAGAGCAAATAACAGATAAATTAAAAAATTTTCACGGAAAAAGCTGAAATTTATTTAGGATGTTTTAACGATTATGCCAACGAAATCTACGATTTTTCATATCAAGCAAATTATTTATAATCTTAAGATGAAAAACACATTCCAAATGTTCATGGAGAAATTTTTAGTGAAAATACTTCATTAAAAATTCTAATTTCTTATCCACGAATGACTTTTAATGATTACTTAAAGTTTGCAAAATTTTGTGAAGATACACACAACATATTAGAAGTTATAGTATGGAAACTATAAAAAGTCAATTTGTTGTCATGAACACGACTGAGTTTATAGCAAGAAAGTTAAAGTATCTACTTACCTGGTTTATACATGGGTTTTGAGGCATAACCTCTGTTAACCTCTCCTTCATGATTAATTTTGATCTCTATTTCAATCTTTCCACTCACTGAGCCAAGACCTCCAAACTCTAATAATGAGGAATGTTAATGCAAGTGAATTAAAAAGCATTAAGTTTGATAAAATTATGAGAATTGTAGTTATTTTAGATATAAAAAATCGTTTTTTGGTAAAAAGAAAGTAAAAGAATAAAGAAAAAACATGCATTAAAACATAGAATGGCATATAACTGACCTACTGCTCTCTTTTAAGAAAAGTATAATGGGACTTCAGACATTATTTAAACTAGCAGAAATGCCAACCTATGGTAATCATACCTTATGGAAAAAATTTAGAAAAGTGAACATTTTTAAAAATAAGTTTGTTTGTTTGTTCTTTTCTGGGAAGAACTGCATGGGAAAAGTGTTCAGTTTGTGCTCTTTAGTCATACATAACTCCTTTCATGAAAATGGTTCAATGTTCTTCTTATGAGGAGAGTACTTTCATTTAAAATTGTTTTATTATAAAGAAATGGTTGTTGCACATACCAGTTATTTTACCAATTGTCCGAATCTTGAATACAAAGTGTGAAATGTTTTTTTATGGATTTTTGTTTGTGGTGCCATTCAACAGATGGCGCCACATTGTACCTATCATTTCGGTAACATACATACATACATATATACAGGTTACATCCATTATAGTAAGAGTATTTCATGCTGGAGAGATTTACTTGTGTCAGAATTCCAAAACCCCATTAATGAAATATAGGAAATGTCATTATATCTAGAAGTCCTAAGTAGTTTTTAAACAGACTATGAATAAATGTTACAAGCAATTTAAAAAACAGACATCACTTATACAATATACAAGTAACTGAAATTTATATTTTATAACAATACTTTGCTCTTAGCTACATAAAAATTAATGACACTACTACACTGTCTAAGATCAAAACTTTTAATCAACTCTTGTTGTAGGTATCTAAATTTTACATGCAACATAAGTTTTCCTATGACAAGACAAAATACATATTTCAGTTTTATTTAAATGATCAAACTAATCACCAATTTATAAGATATTTGCCTACAAATATTAATGACCATTTCAGGATCGTGTTCACTTATCCAACAAATTAATTACACACAAATTTTAAATTGTTTAACCCCCATCCCCTTTTTTAACTTGACTTCATCTACTAATGGTACGTCTAACCAGTTTTATAAGAAGTACTACTTGCAAAGCTGTACTAATCATATACTCCTAAGTCTACAAGGTCTGAGAATCACATTTTTTCTCTAACCAGTTTTATAAGAAGTACTACTTGCAAAGCTGTACTAATCATATACTCCTAAGTCTACAAGGTCTGAGAATCACATTTTTTCTCTAAGTAATGGGGTGATTCACTTTTTAATTTAGCACTTAAAACCTAACTGCTTTACAATAAATATTAATTTTTTTATGCTATCAGTTATTTTCTACTCCCACCTCCCTTTTCACTGTCATAATGAGAAGTTGAGCACCTTCACTTGGTACCAGTAAGTGGCTCTGTTCATCAGATCATGTAAGCAAAGATAAAAATCTGAATACAGAAATAGTTGAAGATACATTTTCCTTTCCTAAGTATTAACATTAATACATCATTTATGAAGATTTCAGAGGCAAATTACCATGCATTTTTAAATGTGAGATTACATATTCCATTTTATAATCTGCAAATTTCTATCTTGTACTTGATTGAAACTATTAGTACTGAAAACATTAAGTCTTTCAGCATGGACTCGGTTCCTGAGACTGACCTCATAACCATTTTGTGCTTGTTATAGTTTTCATGCTATAACTTTTAAATTATTAAACAAATATTAACAAAATTTGGCACATTATCAGTAAACATTACAATGCTTTCATATGCAAAATATCTAATTTTTTTATTAAGTCTTAAAGTTTGTAAAGCATTGTTTTTCTCATGCCTATTTTTTCTTTTCACATGTTGCCTATCTAACATGTAAAGTAATTTCCCTTTTAAGATTAAAAATACTTTTATGTATAAGAAAATTTTCACGTTTCACATGCAAAATCTTTACAATGTCCAGATAGTTATCAAACATTTCTTAAGAAAACCTTTAAATTTTATCTGTTATTTTCAGTAATGAATCTCTGTACGGGGTTGGTAGATTTGACTGATCTCGTAACCGCCATAAAAAAAATTAGGAAACAAACATAAATTATGCCTCTTTCTTTCTAGAGTGAACACAAATTATAACACGAAAACATAAATGTTTAGACTAAATAGCTTAAATCTCATTAAATTATACACATACCAGTACCATCATCCCATTGAGTTTTAATACTTGTACTGATACCCAGATTTTGAAAACATTGCTAGATCTAGTGTCACTTAGTATATTAGCCCATCAGTTTTTTATTTTTGATCATACCTTTCAGCTCGAAGTGTCTTTTACATTGGAGGTGGTTGTTGGTTATGTGTTGTGGAATAAATTCAATCTTGAGTTATAGAAATGCCCAGCATGGCCATCAGATTTATTAAGAACTCCATGTACCTAACCTCTTAGGTGAGTATTTTAGGCAGGTCACTTAATTGTTTTAATAACTTTAAATACACAGCACTACATTTACATTTTATAAACTTTGTGGATTTAAACACAAAATATCACAATCAAAAAATTTTTATCATATGCTATGCAAAGCATGAGTTTTCTCCCTAGTGTTTTATTAAAGTGATTTTGAATGTGCAAATCAAAAAGTCATGTGAAAACCACAGCTGATACAAAATCACAGTGGAATGTATCAGAACCACATTTTGATAATGTTTGGCATCATGTGGGTAGTTTGATGCCACTGAAAACTGATTGCTTATGGAAAGGATATGTAACAGCATTGGAAAACAAAGGAACGTAGATCAATTTGGGGCACCAGGACCATCTAGAAACAGATCTGCAACAAGTCATATCATAACCTTGGTAACATAGGGTGATGTTTTGTAGATGAAAGCAATACATGATCACAAAGGTCAGTGGCAAAAGTTGTACACATTCCCCAGGCAACAGTATATAAAATAACCAAGAAGCATCTCCATCTGAAAACAAGGTTAACAGGGTACAGCCTCACCCAGATGAGGCTCACAGTCATATCTCCCATCCAACAGTTGCATACATTAAACAGCTGAAGAACAAAATGGATTTTCATGTTATTCCATACACAGACAGACTGATCAAGTCACTGGTATTCTGTGTAATCACATGGTTAAAACAGGTGATGGGAACCATCCTCCTCATACACTAAATTGGTTATGGAAAGCATGCAGGAAGGAGTGCTCTGGACATGACAGTTTTACAAAGGAGCCTTTTGCAATGGACTGTAATGATATGGTGAGGATCCAAAATAGCTGTAATATAGCATATTCATCTTCTTCTATCACTTAGAGCATGGATAGGTCAAAGTGTGCATGTCACTACCTTTTGTACAGTTACTTTCAAAATTTAAATTAAACTCCTTTATTATCATAATGCAGGTTATAATTCAAATTTTAATAAGTTTTTAATTTCTTAATTTCAAGAGGAAATATTTAAATAAATTCTCAGTTGTATAATGTGACACTTCTTCACTTTGAACTGCCAATTTTTGATTTTCTTCTACATCTATATGACCTCCTAACTTCCCTGAGAATTTTACTTCCACCCTTGAATTGAGATGTCAATTTGTAACGAAAAGCACCTTTTTGCTTTAAGGAGACATCAGCAATAAACTGGAAGCCTTATGCCATGGCCCTCCATGTATATCCTGTCTTCAAGAAATGTCAGTAATTTTCTCTGACATTTACTATTGGATTATTTATAACCAATATAAAGAAATATTTTTAGTCAATGGAATTGATGACACCTGAAGCCATTGAAATAAACTTGAACATTTTGCTGTTATTTTCTGTTTGCTAGATTGGAACTCTGCTCAACTATGTATGTGAAGCATTCAACTGCCTTGGAATTTAGTTAGAAAGCCCTGAGATACTCCACTTGTGACATTAATCCAGTTTGACTGAACTCCATTTGTAACAACCCCTCTGCTTTCTTCCATCCAGCCACTCTTCTATCCAATTTGCTAACTTATCCTCCACATCTGTAGAGATAATTGTTTTTACAAGCCTTTTGATGTGGCACCTTATCAAATGCTTTCTGAAAATCCAGATACAACAAATCTACACCCTTACCCTCATCTATGTAAGAAGCAACTTTTTCAAACAATGTCAAAAGATTTGTAAGGCAAGATTTTCCCTTAGTGAAACCATGTTGACAATTCAATAAAATTCTAAATTTTGTTAAATGACTTGTAAAGCATCTTTTAACAGACTTTCCAAAACTTTTCCTACAACTGATGTAAGACTAATGGGTCTATAATTACTGGGACAATTTTTATCACTTCCCTTGAAAAAAGGAGTTATGTTAGCTAGCCTCCAATCCTCTGGTACCTGCCCACTATTAACAGATTAAAACTTTGACTTTTTGTATTGGTTAGAAATCATATATCATAAAATTTCAGAGAACTATTGGCAATTTGTGAAAGAGAGGATGTAACAGGTGAGTGTGGTAAGTGGGTCTAATTTATAATTTATGACTTGATAAACAAAGATTGAAAGTTTAATTTTAAAGTTATAAAAATAAGACTTTGTCTTAGTAATATCTATATTATGAGTAATTTGCATTAAATTCGGTACTTTAGAATGTAAAACTTATATTAAAATTTGATATATTAAGTACATTTTGTTGTCAAGTTTATTTGTATACATTGATAATAAAGTAGTTTAATTATATTTTGAATGTAACTCTATAAAATGTCGTAACATGCACACTTTGATCTATCCATAGCAAGAGTTAAACCACTCCACTAGTAACAAGAGCCCAGTTTGACTGGCCTCCATTAATTACTTTTAGATTTCTTTCATTTAACCACCCTACAGTCCAATTAAATATTCTTTCCTAAACCCCTTAATAATGTGATTGTCTTCTACTGTAGTAGCAGTAATATTCTCTAACACCTTATGGAAAGTGTTTTGAAAATCTATGTTAAATAGTCCAATTAAATATCCTCGAAAATGTTAACACTCAATAACAAGTCCTGATTAAGAAGTTAGCACACAGGATCACTCACAAAAGTTGTAATGGTTTTCAACTGAGACCCAAAAGTCGAGCGCTTTCGAATATTTCACTATTCTTCGTCAGCCTAAGAACTGGGAGAGTTCACTTCAACTTCAAGAGTGGAATAGATCAAGCTTATGAGTACTTATGTAGTCAGGGCTAGATAAAGGGAAATGGGTCGTTTATAAGTTGGTTGGTTGTTTCTTTCGAGCAAAGCCACGTTAGGCTATTCGCTGCGTCTACCGGGTGGGATCGAACCCTAGATTTTAGCGTTGTAACTTGCATTTGCAAGTCCATAGAGTTACCACTGTCCCACCGAGGTCCAGGCAGATGGGTGTTTGATGAAATGTATGGGTCAACCATGAGCCAAAGAGCTCCTTGTTATTTCTCAAAATCAAATGTTAATTTAGTCCTCTAAAACTTATGGCATTTATCCCCGATTTTCATAATGAATACCTTACAGATTACTCCCAGAGATAATTGTATAATGCTGCTGATATAGAACTTAACGTTACGCATGATTTAACTTTCAGATTAATTTTTCAAGAATGGTAAACTAATAATTAATAAATTATGCCTAAAACAATATATCAAAAAACGTGTTAATTTTTTTCTTACCTGAATCTTTGTCCGTCATGTTTCCCTTGCTGTTTAACTTTAAAGTATTTAAAAGGTGTATATTGAAAATGTAATTCTAATTTATTTTCTGAAACATTTAATAAAATAATATTAGTAATAGCTAAATTCACCGGTAATTCTCAATAAAGCAATCTATTTTTATATTGGGCATGCACAAAATTTCTCGCGCCAATTTGGTAGTGCATTATGGTTAAAATTAAAATACATCGAAATGTACACAAAGTTAATAATAGTTTAATATAACAATTTCAGTTGCATTTAAATTTTTATAACTTCTTGTTTAAATTTATTTAATGACATTTTTAATCATATTCATTTTTATATTTGAGTTTATTGACGTCATTGCTGATTCCAAAATGGTGGATTCTGGAAGTGTCAATTCCACAAAATAGGCTAAATCAGTTTAATTGAAATTAAGTGTGAATGTAGGGATGTCTAAATTAAAATTTTAGGGTAAATAACTGCACGCGAAACAATTACAATAAGCAGGTATTTAATAATGAAATATGGCTATATTTTGTTTAAAAAATAATAATTGTCAAAATATATAACTACTGTAGGATACTGAATAGTACTTCGTTACTGAGTTCGTAGTACTGGTATTTGTAATATTAATTGTAATAGGGTTACCAGATGTCCCCCTACTTGATCATAAACAGTAAAAGTATTAAAATTGTTCCAGCTTCTCTGTATCTCAGTGTGTACTTGATATGTGTGGTTTGTCGTGATACACGGTTCCATTACATTTTACTTTGAGAATCATCTGACAAAGACATGTCACACGATAAAAATAAAATGTGCTCTCCCTGAGCTGTTTTCTTAACCTAATCTGTCATTGGGCAGTTGTAGGAGTTGTGATTTGAAAACCTGCCTAACTGCAAAAAAGAAAAATAATTTTTTTCTTTTGAGTAGGTTCAAAATAACAAGTGTATTTTTATTATTATTATTTTAATAAAAACTAAGAGAAGCTCTAAATTTTTTTCTATGGTTTTAAATTGAGGTGCAATAAACATCACATTATTCATAATGGCTGGAGACGGCTTAAATGGGTAATGAAGAAAAACTTTAATATAAGTTTAACATGACAGCAAATGTACAACGTTTCGACAAGGTTTTGTCATCATCAGGTACAAATGTACTTGTTTCCAGCACGACCTTGAGTCAATAAACCAGCAATGTCATTGGCTACTCTT